CCCCCCCCCCCCCCCGCTGCACACCCGCTCGCCTTGTCTGTCGTCTCCCCCGTTGCGGCCCCCTGGCCTGCTTCCCGTGCGCGCGATGCCGGGCGATCAGCCCCCCTTCTCTGGCGACGGCGGCCCGCCGCGCGACCAGCCCCAGCCTCGAGGTGGAGCGCCCTCGCACCCGGGGGGGCGCCCCTTCTGGCGGGACGCCCCCCCGGGCTTCGGCCCGCCGCCGCGCCATCAGCACCGGCAACATGGCCGGCCCTTCCCGCCGGGGCCACCCCCGCCACACTTCCACCCGGGCCCTTTTCATGGACCCGGGCCCCACCCCCCGCAGGGGTTCCATGCCGGCCCGCCGGGGCCACACGTCCACGGGCCGCCCTTTCAGGGACACGGCGGCGGCCGCTGGCAGCCGCCCTACGGCCACTCCGGGCCGCCGATGCACCGGCAGGGTCAGCAGCATGGTGGCCCCGGCCGACGGGGTGGCGGCGGTGGCGGCGGGGGCGGCGGCGGCGGCGGCGGCCCACGCGGCCCACGCGGTGACCGTGGCGGCCACCGGGCCGACCGCGGCGGCCCCCGGGGCGATCGTGGCGGCCCTCGCGGCGACCGCGGTCCCTCGCATCCGGGCCCGGGAAATTACACCTCGGCGTTCGTGGAGAATCCCTGGGCCGCGCTTGAACGGCAGCATGTGGCGTCGCTGGCTGCCCACGGCAACGACCATGGCACCGGCCTTGGGGGCCGGCAGGGCGAGCATGGCATCCAGAGCACCCCCGCCCCCATGGGTGTCCTCGCTGTCAACCCCAGCCCCCTGATCGCCACCACCATTCCGGCCTCCGGCACTGATGTTGCCCCTGACGCCGAGGTGACGGCGGGGGACCCTGGCCTCACCGAGACCACCAGGCCCGATGCGCCGGCCGAGGCCACTGGCGGCCTCCAAACTGCCGAGGCGCCCCAGGCCACCGAGGCTCTCCCGGCCGCCGGAGGGGCCGCGGTCGCCGGGGCCACAGGGCATGACGAGCTACCCGGCGGAGTGCGAGTCCACGAGGCCGACGATCTGCCCTCGATGAACCCCGACGAGCTTGACATCGACGACTAGATATTGGCCCTGTGTGTTGGGTCGGCACATGTGTCCGGCGGCGGGCGCATCCGCCGCCGCCGCCGCCGGGGCTGCCTCCCGGCCCGGGACCGCCTACACACACGCTCGAATAAAAGCATGGTATAGAACCCCCGGCATTTGTGCCTCCGCCGCGGCAGGGAAGGCGCAGGGCGCCCCGTCCGCTGGCACTCGCGATCGGCGGGTGTGGGAATGTAAAGCGCACATGTGATTCGTCCATGTGATGGGCTTGTTATTGTTCCCCACAACTCCGAGCCCCGGCGTGTGGGGGGGTGGTGGGGGGAGAGGCATGTCCAGAAGGAAGCCGCAGGAGTGTG